AGGCGCTGCTCTGCGGCGTCGGCGCGCGCCTCGGCGTCAGCGAGAGAAGCCTCCGCCCCGCGCGCGCGGGCCGCGGCCGCGGCGACGGCGCGCTCGGCGTCGCGGCGCAGCGCGGCGGCGCGCGATCGGTCGGCCTCCAGCGCCTCCCGCTCCTGCTGCAGCGCCGACCTGCCGTAGGCACACACGTGCCAATTGTTGCATTCTCAATGACATCGTTGTTGGCATCGACCCCCATTGTTGCCATAATATGCACGCTATGCCAACAACACGTATCCAACGCTATCTCAGCTCTGCGTCCGCACCTCAGGCCGGCCTCGCCCGCCAGCCCCTGCTCAAAACCCGCCCGCCCCCACCTCTGGCTGTCCACCTCCCGCCGCGCCTCCGCGCGCGCCGCCGCAGCCACGGCCGCCTCCGCCTCATCCAGGCCCGCCGCCCTGAGCTCAAGCGCAGCCTCCCGGTCTGACGTCCATGACATCAGCGCGCGCGGGGTGGTGTGACGTCACCGCCGCAGCGCCGGGCGCGGAGACCCTCTAGTGCACGGCTTCAGAGCACTGCTCGCTGCGTGTGCACTCGCACGAGCCATGGCCGTCCACGCACGAACATGCGCTCAAGCCTGACTCCCTCGACACATTCCTGCCGCTGCATTTTCAAGTGCGTTGCAACTAAAGTGGCCCCCACCCCACCCCAGCCCCTAAGCCCGCCGCAGCACATACGTCTACACACATACACACACAGCGCACCCACCCTGCAGCAGGCAGCGCGCCTCCGCCAGCGCCGCCTCCCCCGCCTCGACGCCGCGCTCCCGCCGCTCCAACGACGCCGCAACCTCGGACCGCAGCGCCTCGATTCTCTGCTCCTCGGACAGCAGGCGCCGCCGCGCCTCGGACGCCGCTGCCTCCACCTCGCGCTGCTGGCGCCGCAGGCGCTCCTGCAAGACACAACAGCAAACGCCAGCGTCATGAGCGCGCTCTGTGTGCAGAGAGCCCGCACATCTTTCAAGCAGGCAGGCAGCTTACGTACAGACCGCCAAGCACTGCAGGCTTTAGAATAGCTGCGATCCTTCCCAACAAACGTCGCCCCACTCACAGGCTTGCGAGGCTGTCACCCGCCCCGTCCGCCCCCCAGCCC